GATTAACAACAGAACTACGAAGACGGCGAAAACAAAGCCTATTTCAAGACCAAGTGGAAGCAAGACGATCACAGTGGACAAAGATATCTGAGTTCTTCACCTGAAAGTCTTGAACAAATAAGAATTCAATCTAAGAAACCCAGGATGAAAGGAACTGATTAATTAAACGGTTCATTTTGCTCGGGAATTATTTTTGTCTAAATGCATATAAATATTTTATTTGCATAGATTATTACAACGACAAAGGGAAGTAATCACTCATTACTTTACTAACTCAAGTTGATTTACCTACCTTTTCACAACAGACGGGGCAGGAAATATATAAATAAATACACTAAAAATATATAATTAAATGCGCATTGATATATGGTTTGATTTAGTTTATTATTAATATTATTAATAAATTATTAATAAATTGTAAAATTAATTTATTATTGACAATATTAATATTAATTATAACGAGAAAATATATCTTGAAATAATAAAGAGTAAATTTATTCAATAAAATCGCCAATGGCTTCAAACACGGCCTCCAGACTACTTCGGAATCTTCTGTAACTCTTCTGGACGATCTCCATGTTTAAGTTGGTGAATGCTGCTATAATCCTTGCCTTCAGTTCATCTTTGGTGTTACATGGAGTTCTGTTGGTCTCTCGCTCCCCACATAATGATCAAAGGAGCTGTAGTCTGGGGAGTTAGAAAATTGTCTGACAGCCATGACTGGGTTCTCTTGCTTGTGTGGCATGGTGCAGAGTCCTGTTGCCAGACATAGGGTCTTCCAGCAGCCACCTTCTTGACCCAGGGTACAGTACCTCCACAAGGCACTTAATGTAGACCTTCGTGTTGAGTCTAAGGCCCTGGGGGGTAAGATGAATGTAGGCATAACGTCGCTATTACTTGTGATCACTCCAAACATCATGGTGTTGACTAGATATATCATCCAACTCTTTCCGAATCCTCTGCACTCAGATTGACACCAAAACATTCTGAAATATTCGTATTGGGGCTTCCGGCGCGAATGCCAAGCAGTACAGCATGCCGTTTTCAAATTTCTGCCGGGGTGAATTGTGTCATGGTGCTCTTTTTCTCAGAGACGTTTCCCAACTAACCTTACTCTTCTGTGCAGTTGATAAAATCAAAAACCATCAACGCGCATGTGCGAAATTTAAAAAATATAAAATAGCAATAATATACTCATCGCACCCTGCATATTATGTGTGTGTATTCAGGTAGCAAATGTTCTTTAAAGCAAATGTTAAAGTCAACAGATATTTTGTTTAGATTAATTTTATTGATCGACTTTTCCAAATTACGAATAATCCTTCTCAGATAAGGAAGAATTTCCGCCAGAAATTTTGGAAGAAATATAGTCCAAGCTTTCGACTTTTTAAATCAACAGGGTAGAGACGTATGGTAAGTTTCATAGAACTGGTGAGTGTATGTAGTGACGTGTACAAAGAGTGATGCAACTTAGGCGTGGTCCGACGGGTCTGTGTGTTTATAATACACACACACACACACACACACACACACACACACACACACATATATATATATATATATGTGAAAATATATAGAAAATAGGAAGGAACTGGTTAGGTAAATAATCCAAAGTCCCTTAGTATTTTAGTTATTATTTTTAAAAAATAGTGCTCGATACAAAAGTAGAGCATAAATATAATTATTTATTTAAAAATATGATTCCAAATCGCTACATAAGAGGTCTCATGTTTCAAAACAAGAGCCGAAAACTTCAATATAATCCTTTAAATTAAATTGAGTTGAAAGTAAAATGGGTTCCGTTCCATCTTCAAGCGAAATTTTTGTTGGAATAACGTATATCTGAAATTTACTTGTTTTAAAATTGAAATCAAAATCCCCATGGTAACAGCTATGGTGAATTGTCTAAATTGGGTAGGCGAGTGTAGGGTGTTTATAATAAGTAGCGGTATAGAGATACTTTCAAGGTGTCAAGTCGGAGAAAGGTGGGGGTGTCAAAAATGAAACGGAAGATGTATTGGCCATCGTCTAGTTTGCTTGTCTTATTATTTTTTGTGTGTATTATGTTTCCTGCTTTGCATGGTCCTTAGGCTCTATAGGAGAATTGTCATTTAATTGATAGCACTTTTTTTAGTTTATCGGATATTCCTAGTAAGGCAATCTTCTGAGCAAATTGTATGTTGATGTTACCTGGGACACTGTTAGTAAAATTGTCCATTCCTTTTCTCACGAGGCCCAGTGCTCCGATTATTATTGATACAGGCTTAGTCTTCATTCCCCGTATCCTGTTAATCTCGATCTCCAGGTCCTTGTATTTGGACAATTTCTCGATAATTTTCATGAAGGTGTTTCTCTCAGATGGTACTGCTATGTCAATAAACATACATTTCTTGAATTTCTTGTCTTTTATGATAATATCAGGTCTGTTGTCTTTTATTTCACTGTCAGCTTGAATTAGCATGTCTCAGAGGATAGTTACATCGTTATTTTGGATAACTGGTCTCTCATATATTTTAAGGGCTGAAAATAAAACATTCGACAGTACCCATTGATACATTTTGGATTTCAATACAAAAGGAATATCACACATTAGCTAAAAAGGCTTTATTAGTTTTATTGCAATGTTCTACTTCTATGTAAATTAGGCTTCTCAATCTTAAATAACATAAAAAATAAGAAGCGAGAAAGACTACGCTCAACTGAAGAAATGGGGGTCTGCTTATCGCACATTCAACCAAACATTGAAGAAATCGCGAAAAACACCAGGTTCAGGTTTCACACTAAATAAGCTGCAAAATTAGTTCAATAGAAACATTGAAATAAAGTAAGTTCCTATTTGTGTGTGTATTCTTTTTAAATCTATGGTTTTATTTCATAACATTTAAATGTATAATCTTTAAAAATTTAGTTTAGAGTACTGTGATATTTTTATTTGTTCCTGAGTGTGCCGTTGCTTAAAAAGGTTGAGAAACACATCTAGACGCAGTTGCATCCTATGCATTGATATTCACTTAAGATCTGAGTATGTTCTTAGAAAGCAGAAAGAGGGTGGGGCAGAAAAGAGAGCACTGGGGAACGTTTGCATTGATCCCATAGGCTTCAGAGAGACTGGCCATTAGCAACGACTCTCATGGCGCTAACTGTTAGGAAGAACTTGATAACTAAGAAAACCATTCCAGACATTCCATAGCTGCAGAATTTGTGCAGCAACCTTCCACTTACACTTTGTCAAAGGTTTTTGATATATCTAAGGCGATCGTCCTCGTTATGAATTTGTTGTCTCATGACTTACTGATTCTGTGCGTAATGACAGTTAGGACATCAACAGTGGACATTCTTCTTCTACGTGACACGTCCTTCTCAGGACGTCGGCGATCATGTCACAGCACAATTTCATGTCCTAATCTATCTCTCCTAATCCCTGTTCTGCCAACGATTTACACAAGCTCGTTAGGTAGGCCATTCACTGCTTTCCTATGTACCTCCTGCCTTCAATATATCCTATAAGTATCAAATTTTCCAAACCCACTTTCCTCATAATGTATCATAGAAATTTCAACTGTCACTTTCTGATGCTAACTATAAGTGTCTTTTTTGCTTCCATTTTCCCTAAATCTTCGTTGTTGCTCACATGTTCAGTCCATGTTATTCGTAACATCCTTGTATAGAAACACGTTTCTGCTGCCTCAAGTCACTTCTTCATCTTTGAGGAGATTGTTCGCTGCTATATAGGTGGGCAGGTGCTGCGTAATGGTTCAGTATTCTTTTCTTTGATTCTAAAGTAATTTTTCTGTTTCTTAATACTTTGGTTAGCTTTTGGAATGTGTCATTCTTTATCCTTATAGCTGAGCGAAAACTATGCTGCTATTTTTATTTATTGTGATTTAGGTATTATTTTTCAGTATTCATTATTAGTTATTTATTTGCTTATTAAAAATAAAATGTATAAGGCGTAGCTGTTTCTGCTATTGAATTCATAATTTCTTATTTTTCTTTGAAGCCTTGACTATTGTTTTGGTCTTTCTTCTTCATTGAATCTTCACTTTGTTAGTATTACCGCCATTATCATTCATTTCATCTTTATTTGCGTTGTTGCGCAATTTTCATATTTTTTTTCCGTATTATAATTTTTCTCATTATTCATATTGTTGTCGTATTTGATCTTGAGTTGTCGTACTTTTTGTTGTAAGTGATTTGGCGATGATATTTGATGAGTTCTACTTTCGTACTTTTTGTTTCTTGTTTTTGTTTTCGATTTGCTTGTTTGTTTTCCATAGCTCGTGTTTGACAGGAAAAACTATTTCCCCTCAAGTTATTCCCGTGGTAAGTATTCATTCCCATTAGGTTTGATGATGCCCATATTTATTCCCATGTATGAGTCAATGACGATCCAGACAGCAATGCATTCAGTTGGCTGTTCGCCCATCTTCCTTGCTGCATATCAGTGTATTTACTACCTGCCCATTACACACACACACACTCATACATATATATATATATATATATATATATATATATATATATATATATATATATATATATCTACACAAAATATAAATAAATACGATAAATACTCTTATTATTATTATTATTATTATTATTATTGTTGTTTCTTTAATCCTCGAATTTTTTTCATGTGTGTGTGTGGGTATACATGTAGTAGGCTGATGGAAGAAATTCGAAGATTAAAACAACAATAACAACAACAACAACAGCAACAATAACAACAATAATAATAATAATAATAATAATAATAATAATAATAATAATAAGAAGAAGAAGAAGAATATTTATTGTATATTATTACGCTTTCTTATAAAAAAATATCATTACAATTATATGTCAATCGTTAGCTACTGCCGTCTTGATTCCTCCTCTTTATTGTTCTGTGTCTTAGAGGCTTTATTGCCTTGCTTGAGGTGAAATGATTAATATATATATATATATATATATATATATATATATATATATATATATATATATATATATATATTTCAAACCTCGATGGTTTAATAATCACGGGGTGTGGGCGAAAAATTTCTTCAAATGATAGGTAGATAAATAAAAAAGATGTGGAGAGACCTAAAAGGACAGAGCACATAGAAGAAGAAGAAGAAGAAGAAGAAGAAGAAGAAGAAGAAGAATATTTATTGTATATTATTACGCTTTTTTAAAAATAGATATCTTAACTATGATATGTCAGTTGTTATTTACTGCCTTTTTGATTCCTCCGCTTTTATTGTTCTCACTCCTTAATAATCATTTTATTTTTCTTCTTCTTTCACCCAAAGTAAGCCCACTTCGTCTAAGTGGCGCTATTGCCTTGCGTGGGGTGAAATGATTAAAAAAAATAATTGGCAGCAAGGTCTTGGTGAGATACAACCACATGTGCTCTGCTAAGTGTTTCTTCTCACGCACTTGTCGCTTGTGAAAATTTCTTCAGACTTCATGCTTTCCAACAAACTTTGATCTTCAAAAAATTCAATGCAATGTCAGTTGTCATCTACTGTCACCTTGATTCCTCCTCTTTTGTTGTTTTCGTTCCTTAATTTTTTTTTTCTTATTCTTTCACACTCAGTAATCCATTGTGACTCAGTGATCTTATTGCCTTGCTTGGGATGAAATTACAAATATATATATATATATATATATATATATATATATACCCTTTCTAAAAAAGGTAGTCAAATACAAATGCCTTGTAAAGACGAATATTATTATCATGATGACTATTAAAATAATTATTATAAACGTTATTTTAGTATAGATACATGTTTGAATAGTCATCGTCGTATATATATATATATATATATATATATATATATATATGAAGAAATATAGTCTTAAGATGTGCTATTTTATGGGATAAAGTGATCAATATCAGCGATAGACCGCGTGCAAATATAAAAGTGAACACAGAAGTCAACACTTAGAGGCGACAGTCTGTTTCATGCTAGATGCAATCGTCAGGCCACCTTGTCAGGTGACCTGACGATTGCATGGATTTATCAGACAGTCGCTTCTAAGTGTTGACTTATCTTCACTTTTTGTATATATATATATATATATATATATATATATATAAAAGAAATATAGTAAGGTGTGCTATATTTATGGGATAAAAGTGCTCAATATCAGAGATAGAGCGTGTGTAAATATAAAAGTGAACATAGAAGTCAACACTTAGAGGCGACAGTCTGTTTCATGCTATATGCAATCGTCAGGCCACGTGTGCTGTTATTTTTCTCGGCTATTTATATATATACGGGTTAGTGGTGCATTGTGGGTATTCTATTATGGCGGTTATTTTTTTACCGGAAGTCGCTTTGTTCATTTATTTGGGTCAAGTTATATTGCTCGTTTTATTTATTTTTTATTTTATTTTATTTATTTATTTATTTATTTTTTTTTTTGTTTCTTATTTTATTTATTTATTTATTAACGTAATAAAAATTTGTTTATATCACGTATTTAACAGTTTTGTTTTGGTTTGAGAATTTAATTAAAGCTATTTGTTCAATTTTGGGGTTGGTTGTTGTAGTTCATTCTAACTATTATTTTTTGGCGGAACAGTTTTTTAATTTGGGATTGGTTTGCCTATTTATTTACTTGGATGAATTTAGGTCAATTTATTTTTATATTTTCTTTTTGGTTTTCGGTTTTTTAAGCAAATATAGTACTTATTTATTTATTTTATTTATTTATTTTTTTTTTTTTTTTTTTTTTTATTATTATTGTATTTGTTTTTATTTTATTTTTCCGTTTTTCATTTTTTTAGGTTACGTAGTAAAATTTATTTTCATGCCTGCATTTTGAGATGAGCTCGGATCTTTTATTTAATAATTTATTTTGGTCGGGAAAGTAATGATAGCTATTTTTCCTCCAAGCAAAAGTTTACAAGTTTTGATTGGTTGTTGTAGGCTGATGACTTTTTCCTTATCTTCCAAGATATTTTTGGTGTGATGTGCGTTTTGTTTTTTATTTCCCAGATATACTTAGAAAGCATAGTACTGTTCGCATATTTACTATTTGTGAACGATTTTTTGTGTGTATAATTTCTTTGCTTCGAGGGTCCTTCAGTTACTCCTATGTATACTTTTTCTTCGTTATCTGGTGATTTTATCGTGGCTTGGTATATTACGTTGTTTTGTAGACAATTTCCGTTTAAGGGACATTCGTTCTTTATTCTGCAGTTGCACGTGGGTTTAATTTGTTCGTGTGGTTTGTTGATAATTTTCCTATTGTGCTTTTTATTATTTGTGCCATGCTCTCGGTGCAGCTGTAGCTGATTTTTACTGTATTTTTTGTTGAATATCTTGTGTAAGGTGCTTGATTCTGGGAAGTGTTTGTGTAAGAGTTTGAAGAATATTTTTCCTACGTTTGTTTTTACGTTCTTGCTGTACGGTGGGTTGAACCATATGATATTTCTTCTCCTGTTGGTCTTTTTTGTATTCTGTGGTGAGTATGTGAGTATTGCTGGGAATCCGCTATCTTTTAGGGCCGTTTCATAGTCTTTTTTAGCTTTGTTAAATAGGGATTCATTGGAGGAATTGTCGGAGAGCCTGCGGTTAATCGATTTTGGTATCTGTTTGATTATAGAAGGCGGATGGTTGGAAGATGTGTGTATGTAGAGTGGTTTATCGTTAGGTTTTCTGTATGGTTTATATGTGTCTTCTCTTAGGTTGAAGGTCACATCTAGAAATCTACTTCGTTTAGGTTAGTTTTTTTATCTATGTCGAATCCGTTATTTTTTAAAATCTTTATTATTGCTTTTCTAGTTTTGTCTGTGTTTTGTTTGTTACAGTTTCTTAAGATTATGAGGCCGTCGTCCCTGTAGAGTCCTGTGTCATTTTTATCTATTATTTTGCTCAGTTCGTGTAGTAAGTAAATGCCTATGATTTCGCATGCCTCTGCACCGTCAAAGCTTCCCATTGTAGTGTCAAATATCCCATCTTTCTTTATCCATGCTTCTTCATTGTGGAATAATAATGATTTACGGGAGTGCTTAATGATGTTGATTTCGCTTGGTTTTATTATTATTTGTTCCTGAGCTAAGTCGATGGCCTTATCTAGCATACGTTCTGTTATAGATGGGTAAAATTCTTTTATGTCTAATTGTAGGAATTGGCAATTTTGTTTGTTATTTATGTGTGGAACCAGTCAATAGTTGTTTTCGTATTTTTCCACTGGTTTACTCCTAATTTCTTCCTAAGTTCAGAATTAATTCTTTCTAGTATTGTTTTACTTATTTTACCTAGTTCGCTTTTGGCTGGGTTTATGAGTCTGCATGCAGGATTAGTTTTGAAATTTTCTTTATGGTCTTTTAGTGTGATAAAGGCTCGTGCCTTGCTAATACAATTTATTCGGTCATCTAGGTCTAATTTTTTGGGCGATTGTTTTAGCTTCCTTATTGATATCGTGTTCTGTTGTTTGGGGTGCCTTTTTGTATGTTTTGGTTATGTTGTTCTTGAGTAATTTATTGTGTGGGAGGGCTTAGTTTGTATAAATTTCTCGTTTTGTCAGCAGCGATAAATACACTTGCTGAATTGTTTATTTTAGTTATATCTGCTTTTAGTTTTTTTTTGAATGCATCTTGTTTTTTTGGAATTTTATGTTTCTAACTAGGTCAGTTAAGTCTTTCTCGAAATCGTCTAATTCTTTTTGTTGTGGGGGGCATTTTTTTGTTTTGAAGCCGTATTTTTCCTTCTTAAGTGTGTTATTGTGAAGGTCCTGATTTAAAAAGTGGACTTTCCATCTCATTCTTTTTAGGAAACTTTCTATTTTTTCAATTAATTTTAGTTTATATATAGTAGGGGATGGGATGGGTATGTTTTTTAGGGAGTAGTCGAGGTTAAATTTTTCCATGTCCATACTGTGCGAGAGTGCTCTACTTTTTACCAGGAGCTGAATATAAAGAAATATAGTCTTAAGGTGTGCTATATTTATGGGATAAAGTGCTCAATATAAGAGATAGAGCGTGTGTATCCCAATCCCAAATTAAAAAACTGTTCCCGCCAAAAAAATAATAGTTAGAATGAACTACAACAACCAACCCCAAAATTGAACAAATAGCTTTAATTAAATTCTCAAACCAAAACAAAACTGTTAAATACGTGATATAAACAAATTTTACTACGTTAATAAATAAATAAATAAAATAAAAACAAAAAAAATAAATAAATAAATAAATAAAATAAAATAAAAAATAAATAAAAACGAGCAATATAACTTGACCCAAATAAATGAACAAAGCGACTTCCGGTAAAAATAACCGCCATAATAGAATACCCACAATGCACCACTAACCCGTATATATATAAATAGCCGAGAAAAATAACAGCACACGTGGCCTGACGATTGCATATAGCATGAAACAGACTGTCGCCTCTAAGTGTTGACATCTATGTTCACTTTTATATTTATATATATATATATATATATATATATATATATATATATATATATGTGTGTGTGTGGAGAGCGTGTAAATATATATATATATATATATATATATATATATATATATATATATATAATTATTTACTAAACGCAAATAAGTTGTGACACAAGGTTCAATAGAAGGCTCAAGATCCACACATTACAGAGGATTACTGAATGGAAAAGGAATTACGTTTATATTCAATTATTTTTAAAAGCCTTAAACATCACGTGTCTCGCTTCTTTAAATAATGCTCATTTGTACGCTTAACTTAATTAATGGACTGTTTTAACACATATACAGAAGGTCCTCGGGTTACCTCAGACCCGACGTAAGGCGTTTCGTGGTGACGCTTCATCCCTCATAATATAATACGTTGTCACCCGGCACTATATTATGATGGTTTCATCATCGATTGTACGCCATATTGGATTGTATTACATTCGCTATTTCTCGTTTTTGTCGTGTATTTTTTTTTTTTTTTTTGCCCTTCATTATCGCTCCCAAGCTTAAGGCACATTCGTGCGCGCATATGTAGGTGTGTTCCGACCTACATCGAAAATCAAGTTACATATCGCAGTAGGAAGAGATCTCTGTCGTAAGTCGAGGACCCCCTGTACATCAGTAGTTTAATATTTCCAATAAGTTAAATACTTTGCTGTATTAAAACGAATTTAAATTGATTGGAAGGATTTATTTTTGCTAAAAGAGATGCTTATCACTCTTTTTAGTCATCTTCCATCGCCATGTAATTCACTTTATTAAAAAAAAATCTTTCAAAAATAAAATATACTTTTTTAAAACTTTATTCGAAGAATATTAGCTGATTTAAAGTATAATTAATCTGATCTAAAACAACCATTATGTAATAAACTATATATCGCAGAAATCATTTTTTTAACCCGATAATAGCTGTTTATTTATGGTATTGACGGGTTTGACAGCTTCATGACAGGATGATATTTATCTAATGTTGTTCTATGCAGGTTTTAGACGCTAAAAAGTTATTGAATTAACGTGAAATGATGTTTACTTTTCGGTTACGAAATTGAAACTACCAGATATAGACTCGTAGAAGCCCCAACGAGAAAATGTAGTTTCTTTAATAGGTAATTCCAACCTTGCTTTGTCAAGCTGGCTACTTATAGAGGCACACTTTGGCTCCAGAGTTGTTTCGCTGATTGAAAAAAAGGGATACAGGTTCGATTCCTGTCGGATGCACACTTTTTTCTTTCGTAGAACTTTGCAATATTGGCCGGTTGTTATTAATTTCACTGTTTCATAAAATTAAAAATTAAAAAAAAGGGATAGCAACTCAAAGACGCGTAAAACACTAAAAATAACATTTATACTAATAAATAATGTCGGATAAATAATCCTTTCAAAAAAATGATATTGTAGTGTTGATTGATTTATTTTCTATGACTTGTCAACCATTTTCAGGTTATTTACAGCCAGAAAATATTTTTAGATCGTCAAAATTTTTTAGTGATACAAGTCTTACTAGTTAACCCATAGCTAGGGGAGAACAGGTGAATTCATATCTATCCTAAAGGTATTTCCTCGTATGTGAATATAACGAATCCAATTTGAATTGGAATTGGGTTCTCCGATTTCGAATCCATTACACCACAGCAAATGCTATTCCCAAGAAATCACCCATGTAGGTACTGACCAGGCTCGATGTTGCTTAACTTGGGTGATTTTACCAGTACGTGATGTGACCGTAAGCCCTTAATATTGTATGTATGCAGGTATAAACGTTATGCAAATAACTCCAAAGATACTCCAATCACAGACAATCAATTAACTGGAATGTTATTGATCCAGACCTAATCAGGTATGCACATATAGTCACATAGTTTGTTTGTTTGTTCGTAATATGTTCGATCTTCACCGAGTGCTTGCCTTATTCGAAGCTAAACAAGGTAATTCTAAAATGCAATAACTTAAAAAAGAATTTCTAATTACGCATTTATTACTTCCGTATCCTTTTTTTTTTTCCAAAATACTTTACGATTAATTGAATTCTTTCATTCACTCATTCATTTCCTTTTCACGTTTGTGATTCGTTTCATTTTACATTTCGAGAGTCCTCAAATCCTTCAGTTATTTGTCCAAACACCAGAAATCAATCACCGTCATGAAAGCTACTTGAACTTGAAGGCACAATGCCAATCAGTATGATTTCTCATCTTTAGAAACATTGCAATAACTCTTATCTGGCTTCTCCAAACATCCATGTCCTTTGCTAACTCAAGACAGTGCTGCAGGTTTTCCAAGCTCTTCAAAGTATGTTTGTTTTTTACATGGCATGATAGCAGTTGAGTTCTTTTGATGTCGTTATTCAATGGTCATACTATGTTCATCCAGTATCTGTGGCTGTTTGGTATGCTTCTATTCGCTATTGATGACAAAACCATTCCCATAATCTTTTCCCAAAGCTATTATGCTTTCTAACTCCAGTATTAATATAAAGATTTTTGTTTCTTGAAGACGATGACATCAGTGTTATAAATATCAATGTCCCGAGCCAATAATACCCGCTTTTCTTTTTTTCACAAGTCTTCTAACATAAAAAAATATTTCGATGGTAAAATCTTTATATACAATTAAAGGAACTTCCAAAGTGAAAGAGAATAAATGTGCGGTTGGTGTAATAGATATCAGCTCGGGATGAAAAATCAGAGAGCCGAGTTCAAATTCTGATCAACTTCGCAGCATTCACTTACACCTTTTGAAAAAGTATGAATCAATCTCTTTTCCTTCCAAACTAAGGATGAAATATCAGGGCAGAATGTGCTCTCTAGACTTAGTTGACAATCAGTTTAGAAGAAGGACAAATCAGAATTTAAAACCCTATGTTGCCCTGGGACCAAATCAGTGGTTGCCTTTTGACAAGGTGTAACATCCTGAAGTCACCTCTTCCAGGGAGTCCTAGGTATAATGATAAACTACATACAACAGCAAAGCCTCTGATCGAGAGATCGGAGGTATTGAGGAACATGGGACCACCTTTTAATTACTGTTGTTTCCTCCCTGTCAGGATTTCAGATATGGACAAATAGTGAACCCCCAAATAAAACACTATGAAAGTATAAAAATAAATTTTTATAGTAAAAATACCAGCAATACATATTTATATAAAAATGAACCAACAATAACTGGATATCAAGTGACAGCAAATCTCCCTAAAATGAAATGACTAATGATATATTTTGAAAGCAAAATAATCTGCAATACATTTTATCTGTAGTTGAGAGTATACAATTGCGTTCAAAATATATTGAAGCCATGAAATTGTGTTCAAATTTAAATTTTGGCATTAAATACTAGAGGTTGATATGCCGCAAAACAAAATCAACTAACCAAACAACCAACGTGAAAAAACTTCTTCATAACACTAATCCATATAATATCCTACAATTTCTTAAAGAAATCAAACTGTATTCTAAAATATATCTAAAACACACATAACACCGCCTTTAGTAACAGAAACATATATGTGCACAAAAGCAGATTATCTATCATGTATTCAATTGGGAAAACAGAATAACATATCACACTTTTATTACTTCAAAGCTAAATTTCGGCATTAAATAACCCATAAGGAGTTGACATATTATTAAAAAAAAGAAAGAAAAGAAACGACAGCTACGGTAAAGTCATCAGCAGTTGTATGATGAATGCGGTCAATGGCAGAATCCAATAAAACCAGATTTGTGGTATAGATTCTTCAAATTGCTACAAAACCAAAATATTAATCTGAAAACTCATTTCATATTCTTAAATAACCTGTAGTGAACAAAACAACAGATCTAGATTTAAAATTCAAATGCTGACTCATTGATTTTGTTCGAAATGAAAAAGACTCGAATTTACAAACTTTGCTTAACACGCGCGCAAAAACGAATCCAAAACAAAACTCGTGAAAAGTAGGTTATGTAGTAAAATAATGTCAAGAACATAAAGTAGCACAGGCATAGCAAAAGATGCCATTTCAAAGCTAAGCAAAGATATAGGGAAATTTTATTAGAAATTTCCTCACAGATGGAGAAGTTGCCTGAAGCGACAGAGGTGCAGGTTTACCAACGAATTCTCAAAATACCATAAACAGAACATGTGAGCAAGGAGGAAGTCTTAAGGAAAATACGAACTTTAATTGATGCTTACTATTAGAAAGATAGACATGAAATTTTTATGATAATTCATGAAGAAAGGCGGCTTCAAAAGTTTAATATTGATAGTAGTGATTGAGCCTTTGTTTCCTGTTTTGGATAGGTTTCCGGTTCTTCTCATTCTCTTCCATTCGCAGTAGCCCCTTGCATTTTGGTAGCATTATCGCCTTGCTTGGGGTGAATTGATTAAAAAGAAGGCAAAAAGTTTATACTGAAGTAAGGAGAGGCAGAAGAAAACGGAGAGAAAATTACCGAATAGATTTGTGCGAATATATGACAGAGTAAGGTCAAGGTAGCTGAAAGGGACACAACATAAGGATTTTGAGGATGATGCCTTCAAAGTTCCTCGGAGCTCTCTTCTGTATTTGAAATGTCTTCATTAGCACCGTTATCTGGATGATGCCGATTCCTTCTCCGATTCCCTGTTCCTTCTGTCTTTCATTTATTTTCGATATCGCTCCTAGTACTCCAATAACAACTGGCACAACTTCAGCATACATGTTCCATGCTTCACCAGAGTTCTTCAGCATTATTAGTTGAGCTTTTCGATATCGCTCCTTCATGGCTACATCACGTTGAAACACCTGTTCACGTACGATCACCGATGTTAAGCAACGTCAAGAATGATCGGTAACTAGATGGGTGACCGTTTGGGAATACCAGGTTCAGGAAGCTTGGATGTGCGGGTGGTGTAATGGATAATGGCTCTGAATTGTTAATCGGAGAGCCGGGTTAAAATTCCAGTGGGTTCGTTATATTCACTTACGCGCAAATACCCTTGGGAAACCCGCCTCTTCTTCCCCCAACTATGGGTTAATTAGTAAGACATGTATCACTAACTTATAATTATCTAAAAAATATATATATTCTTATAATCTAAAAATATTTTCTGGCTTTAAATAACTTACAAAGGGTTGATAGGCCTTAGAAAAGGAATTATGTAATCATATTGCTCCCTATGCTACAATAGCCACTGGCACACTTGTATTATACATATTTCAGGCTTCTCCCGCCTTTTCGACGCGATTTTTGATATCGCTCCCTGTGCTCCAATAATGACTGGCATAACTGTAATATCTAGTGAGGTTCAGATATTTAAGTGACTTTTTTTTTGTCTCTATTCAACTGACATTTTCGACGCGATTTTTGATATCGCTCCCTGTACTCCAATAATGACTGGCATAACTGTAATATCTAGTGAGGTTCAGATATTTAAGTGACTTTTTTTTTGTCTCTATTCAACTGACATTTTCGACGCGATTTTTGATATCGCTCCCTGTGCTCCAATAATGACTGGCATAACTGTAATATCTAGTGAGGTTCAGATATTTAACTGATTTTTTTTTGTCTCTATTCAACTGACATGATTTTTCACTTATTTAATTTTTACTAGATTTGTTTTTCTGACTTGAGTTCCATTTGAATCACAAATTTGTACAGTTCTTAATGGGTCTTCCTTCCGACCCAAACATGCCAACTTGTACTTGTTCTATTATTATTATTATTATTATTATTGTTGTTGTTGTTGTTGTTGATGGTGGTGGTGGTGGTGGTGGTGGTGGTGGTGGTAGTGTTATTGTTGTTGTTGTTTCTTTATCGTTCTATTCATGAATATTGTTACTATTACTTTTCATGCCAATCCCATTTTTTCCGATGAACATTCAAATAGAAAAAGTATGTGTCCTCTTCTTTCTCAGCTGAAATGCGATAGATGGAGAAAATGTCGTCCAGGGAAGGTAGTTGCCCGAAGCAAGATACATGGAATGATGGAGACGGACGATGGAGACTGGATACCCAGTGGATTGGAAAAGAAAACAACATCGAAACGGACCGTATTTGTCCATACACAAAACTGGTTGTGCAAAGGGAACCTATTTGCATAAGCAAATGTCTTTTGTATACGTACATATAGGCTCTATGCATGCTGGTATGAATATATGGACATTTTTATATATTTATGCATATTAATGTCTGTGTCTGTTTACACGGTCTGACATATTTGTATAGTTGAAAATTGAGCGCTTGTGAAAATATATGTTCGCAGAAATAAATAACAATATGACAGTATATGTTTATTAGTGCGCACATGCACACTTATCAACACGTGCATACACATATATACGCACGCAATACAGATAGATAGATAGATAGATATAGATAGATAGATAGATAGATGAATAAAGACAAAAGTTAAACTTATCTACGATAAGTGTTCCTTTTGTCGTAATTTATTTTGTCTTTTACAGATATACGATATCTGAAAATTTTACACACAAGTATATATAAAGAGAGTGAGAGAGATCCATGCAGACAATCAGATAGATAGGTAGACAGATATACATAAATATATATATATATATATATATATATATATAGAGAGAGAGAGAGAGAGAAAGAAAGAGAGGGCGAGATTCACATAGACAAGCAAATAGATAGAAAACAACAAAGCAAAGACATAGATAGATAGATAGATAGATAGATAGATAGATAGATAGATAGAAAGTAAAACTTGTCTTAAGTGTTCCTTTTGTCGTTATTCATATTGCTTTTACAGATATACTCTATCTGAAAATTTTACACACAAGCATATATACATAGAGCGAGAGAAGTCAGGCAATCAGATAGATAGATAGATAGATAGATAGATATACATACATAAATATATATACATATACATATAGAGAGAGAGGGGGAGAGAGAGAAAGAGAGAGATTCACATAGACGAGCTGATAGATAGATAGATAGATAGATAGATAGATAGTGCCACTGTCGTTTGAAATTTATGAACTCGTTCTCTTCAATCAATATTTCAGGAAAATGGAGTTTTCATGTGCAGTAACTGTTATTATTCTTTCCAATATTAGTGGGATCATTTCTAACATTTAAAATTTTTGTATAACGCCATATAGATAGAAAAAAAGGCATAGATAGATAGATAGATAGATAGATAGATAGATAGATAGATAGATAGATAGATGCCGGGTGGGATGGATAAATTGTTAACTAAATTACACAAGATAACAATACCGTCTTTTTTTTACAGATATCTTTACCAAAATTGTATAAAAGATTTCTTGAAATACTAAAAAGTTAATTTATTCAATAAAATCGACATCGGTTTCAATCACAGCCTCTTTCTGGAATCTTTTGCAACTCTTCTGGGCGGTTTTCTTGTTTAACTTGGGGCCATAATACTTGCCTTCAGTTCATCTTTGGTGTTACAAGGAGTTTTGTTAGTCTCTTACTTACCTACGCCCCTTATATAATAAACAAGGGGTTTGCAGTGTGGGGAGTTAGGTCGCCAGATGTAAGGAGGTGATGTGTTTGCAGAAATTGTCTGACAGCCATGACTGGGTTCTCCTACTTGTGTGGCATCGTGCAATGTCTTTTTGCCTGACAGCGTCTTCCAACAGCTACCATCTTGACACAGGGCAGCATTACCTCTTGAAGACACTTGATGTAGGCCTCCGTGTTGAATCTGAGGCCTTCACCAACAAATTCAGGAGTTCTTATCTTATCAGAACGATCAGAGTGAGTTTTCCGAGCTGCCATACCTTCGTAATCAACATTAGACTCATCCAACTCTTTCCGAATCCTCTGCACTGTCTTCAGACTGACACCCGCTGGATTGGAGCTTTCGGCGCGAATGCCATGCAGTAGAGCGTGCCTTTTACAAATTTCTGGCGGAGTGAATTGCATAATGGCGGTCTTTTCCTCATAGACGGTGCCCAATTGCTATACTGTGCAGGCGACAAAATAAAAGAAAACAACAACGCAAAGAGATAGATAGATACATAGATAAACAGAGATAGACATGAAAAGTTATGCAGACACAGATAGATATAGAGAGAAAGAGAGATGCAGAGACGGAGATAGATAGATAGATAGATAGATAGATAGATAGATAGATAGATAGATAAACTGAGATAGACATAAAAAGTTATGCAGATACAGATTGATATATAGAGAAAGAGAGATGCAGAGACGCGTATATATAGATATGTAAAGACATAGATAGATAGATTGATAGATAGATAGATAGATAGATAGATAGATAGATAGAATAATCTTTCAAATATATGAATGTATGACTTCTAATAAACGGAAAGGGGTGTAGCGGAAATCCATCGAAGTGCCAAAAACCTGCTACAGTGAAAAGTCGACCACTGGATTACCTCATCTTTCCACTGAAATGTCAGAAACCAATGATGTACACTAAGTTCTAAAGGAATCCTTTTACCTCATGCTGGATTAACATTACAATCAATCTGCGTGTTTAAATCCATGCAAGAATACAGAGCGTACCACTTTCAATTTCATATTAAGTCTTGAACCATTAAATATAGAACATATTATATGTGACAAAAAGAAGCGTTATTTATTGATATAATGAACAGATACGATTTTTATGTTTCTTTCATTCTCTTTCCTGCACAACAAACTCGCCCGACGTTAATTATTGAATAAGTCGGGGCTCATTACGTTATAATGTGAAAAATAGTTTTCATAGTAAGAAGAGACATCCTTGTCGCCACTGAAATTTAATTTTTTTAATTATATAATTAAGAAAAACTTGAATATTTAAATTTTTAAATAATGAAAACTAAAAAATATAAAATTAAAAAATCCGTCTTTATAATACCCGTTATAGATGCACACACAGAGACGTACATATATATATATATATATATATATATATATATATATATATATAATGCTATTAATATATAAAACATGTGTATATTTAATTCGCATTCTTTAAAAATGAGAAAAACTACTGCTATTTAAATTCAAATGGTTCTTTAAATTTGTTCACTAGTAATAATTGCTAACGCCATAAAACAACGCTGAACTTTACAATGTACACACACACACAAATATATATGTGTGTGTTAATGTGTGAGTGTGTGTGTTTATTAATTCAAACGTTATTTTTAGTGGTTACCCTTTGAATAAACGCTCCGCATTATTTTTTTTAATTTTCTAAAGGCTGTCTAATACTGTTAAAATAAACATAAGGTCTAAAAATATCGTTTGAAGTAGTCCCTGCTGACTGCAATGTATCTTTGAAGATATTCAAAAAGTTGTCAAAGTACAAGGACCTTGAAATAGAAATCTCGAAAATGTGGCATATGGGAACATCAACAATCCCTGTTGTAGTTGGAGCCCTAGGACTGGTTGGAAAAGATTGCAGTAGACTAATTCAAGAGATTCCTGGAAGTCCATGCCTCAAGGAGATACAAAAATTGTTCTGACAAGTACAGCCCACACTTTACGAGGGCTTTCTCTGTAAATTTCTTTTTTTTTTTTTTTTTTTTGTCAGTGGAAAGTGTCATGACGCCATTTCTAACCTTAGGTCCCTGGGCGGGGCCGGAAAGAAATGTAAACGCCAGAAATCAAAGAAAATAAAAATAATAACAATAATAATAATACACAAACAAACATACATATATATATATATATATATATATATATATATATATATATATATATATATATATATATATATATATATATATATATATATATATATATATATATATTATAATTTTTAATTTTTTTTTGGTGACTAATTATAATGATGACTGTACCATCCTCACTGTAATTCATATGAGGTAGTTAAAAAATAAATTTGACGCACATACCACAGTTTTTCCACGACAGTGGCAGCGTACACGGTATACAGAAAAAAAGTAAATATTCCAAATTAATAGCCTCTAGAATAATTTGAAACATAACACCTATGACCTCCCTAATAGCCGTAAGAATAATACAATAAAACCCCCGCTACTCATATATATATATATATATATATATATATATATATATATATATATATATATAGCACTCGATATATAACAGAGCTATATAATTTATATCAATTATGGATATACATTTTTCGCCATCGGGAATATATTTCAGTTTCATGCACAATGCAATCGTCAGGTGCTAATTGAAAACTGTACCAGTCAGTTTCACTCAGCACCTTATGATTGCATTTTGCATGAAACTCCTAGTTGTGCTACTGGTGAGGAAAAAATATATTTATTATTAATATAAATTATATATATATATATATATATATATATATATATATAAGGTAAGCATTAGATATATATATATATATATATATATATATATATATAAAATCCTAGTGAGCCAGGAACAACCTAAAATTCAGGATAAGCCAGACTAGAAATTACGGCACAAGACGATATATATATATATATATATATATATATATATATATATAAACTTCACATCTACAGAAGACCCCCCAACACACACACTCCGATCAACGGACTTTGGATGCAACGGCAAAAATAAAAAAAAGTTATGCAGCAAAAAAACTTCCAAATCGTCGGCGATGTATTTCAAAATTTGCGGGATTAGCGGAACGAGTCGTATTAGTTCTCAAAGTTGACCGCTTGGCGGCGGTGGCGGGCCTTTCAATTATATAAAGTACGATACATTAGCGCGTGCATGAGAAATCTATTATTTTTTGTTATTTTGATTAATACATCTATTATGTATATATTTATTTATGCCATATATATATATATATATATATATATATATATATATATATAATATTAACATTATGATCATAACTACTGCCAGTTACTATAGTGGTTTTATAACTAAAAAATAATCCCTTCCTACCTACGAAAAATCGGCTTTAACCATCCTCCTATTAGTCCGTTGATGAGAGGATTGTATGTAATGTTTATATTTATACATATATTTATAAATTATATATTTATTACTTTATATATATTAAATGTGGGATGATAAATTTGGCCTTTATTCCTTGATCAGCCAAATATTTATTCAAAATTGTCCAATATTTTTATTATGCAATAATTCTTTAGAACTTATAGCCTTACATTTGACATTGTTTCTCCGTTTCGCTTATGTCTCTTTTTAGCCTGCATTTCGACCATGTACCCTTGGATAAAGCAGTTATGTATTTACAGTGTAACCCGGATATAAGAGAGTTGTCGGGACCGGAGAAGAAGTCTCTTATATCCGGGTTTCTCTTATATCTGGGTTTGGTCTATTTTATATATACAGGCTCTAATTTGGGACCAGAGAAAATCTCTCTTATATCCGGGTTTCTCTTATATCCGGGTTACACTGTATTACATCAGATAACCTTCAAGCTACGTCGAACGGAATCCTTTGTTATATCCAGAAGAATAATGATATTTCGATTCCTTATTTGTTTTGTCTGGTAGCTTTCCTCAACATTGCAGACTCTATTATTCTTACCTTTTCCTTATACGAAAATTCACTCAAAGCAGAGGATTACTGTGAAAATCATTCTGATGAATGAAGTCTGTGATATGAAGGAGAGAAGATGTGGTAGGAAGTAAAAAAAATTATGAGAAGGAAAATATATAACGATCAACCATTGTCGTGTTAATCCTCTCTTTCTCCCTCGTGTCTATCCATCAGTTGAAATAAAGCCCAGTAACTTTTAAACTTGGAACATATATTTTGTGCTATGTACAGCAGATGACGACAAACGCCTTTAAAGCCACAAAGAACGAAGAAAAAACGAGTACTTTTAAACATTATAAATTTGATAGAATTTCTAAAATTTTAAAATTAGGACTTCATTCACAGCGCCCTACTCTCTCTCTCTCACACACACGCACAGACACACACACACACACACACACACACATATATATATATATATATATATATATATATATATATATATATATATATGAAGAAATATAGTTTTTAAGGTGTGCTAATATTTATGGGATAAAGTGCTCAATATCACAGATAGAGCGTGTGTAAATATAAATATAAAAGTGAACATTGAAGTCAACACTCCAGAAGCGACAGGCTGTTTCATGCTGGACGCAATCGTCAGGTGGCCTGATGATTGCGTCAGCATGAAACAGCCTGTCGCCCTGAGTGTTGACTTCAATGTGTTCACACACACACACACACACACACACACACACACACACACACACACACATATATATTTATATATATATTTTGTATTACTTTAGACGTTATTTTTAGCAGATAGGCATATTTGAGCAGGCGCCCTGTTTATTTATTAAACAGTATATTTATTTATTTTCACCTACCGGCATGAATACTGGAGGAATCTTTATAAAAAAAAATTTGCGCCCTTCGGCAAGAATAGAACCTGCGCCCCTAGGGAAGTAAGGGCTACCGTTTATCCAACCGTTTTAGTGTACATATTATATTTTATTCTTTATGTTTCTGCTACACTAGTTTCCGATCTCGTGACCTTCTTCAGGCAAATAGAATGAATAAATTTTTAAAGGAGTAAATTTTCCTTATGTTCTTTTAATGTTTCATTGTTCGTTTTCTGTATTTGTAGTGAGCCTTGTTCTCATTTCTGGACTATTGGCAAAAGTTAATTTCTGTCTAAGTGGTAATAAAACCAATAGGTTTGGTCTGAGAGGTGGTAATGATAGATGCGTTGATGAGAGATTTTTTCCTCTATCTACATTACACTTGAGACTGTAACACCTCTACAACATGCAATCAAGGCAAATTTAAAATTTTGCTAATATACCAAACAGGCAACTACTCTTTCTTACAAATTCAAGAAAAAAAAAAATTCATAGACAAATTTAAACCGGTACTGAACTGATCATAATCCCAAACACGTGGATACACGGCATGCACACATGATGGCCAGATACACTGGTCGGACTGCACACATACATACGCGTACTCACGCGCAAAAAGTATCCATGGAGAACAAATATATATATATATATATATATATATATATATATATATATATATATATATATATATATATATATATATACTACCAAAAGCAGATAGACTACTCACTGCCACACGCGACAGTATAATCGTAGAAGTACAGAACTGTGTTAAAATTCTACGTTTTGGACATTTTCTTCCAATCTGGATGTTGCAGGACGACCGCTTGGCAGATGATTTCGGTATTCCCTGCGCCACCATCTGTTCACTTTTATCACAGACTGACACGCGGATGCAGTGCCAGACATTGTGTCATTCTGGGCTATACTTGTCACTCTGAAATAATAATAAAAAACGTAAACTAGCAATAAAATTCTACCACTTTAGGGAACACAATGTATTTTGTCTCATTCTGCCAACACCTTTTGCAGAAAAACAGCCCCAGATCATGATACTGCCACCACCAAACTTTACAGTTTTGACTTTTTTCATCAGTTAAAATGAAAAAAATGTATTCATTTCTGTTAGAATAAGAATTAATTAAGTTTATTACTATTTTTTAATAAAATGCATCTTTACGCATAAAATGTATCAAAATTTGTTTTACATTTATAAAAATATAATTTTTCATGTGTACGAATATTTATTTCCCCACTGTATGTATATATATATATATATATATATATATATATATATATATATATATATATATATATATATTATAAAAAAAATAAAATATATTTATTCTTTAGACATTGTCTTGTTTACGTTTCGAATACGAAACTGAGCAATTATGACTTTCGTAGAAATTTGAACGAGTAAAGTGTGCTTTCGAAGCAAATAAAACCTTGCTTGATTGGAAAGATTTTGTTGCCGAGTGGTCAGTGCACGTCGAATGAAACGACCATTTCTACTGCATAGGGGTCACCTGTACTGATCCTGTTGGAGGGCGCTTTTTCTTTAATAGGTTTTCTCGATTGTTCAAACCATTAGAAAAATTAAAATACTGTTTAAAGTAAACGTAGCGTCTATTCAATGTCTGTTTAGCCGTTCAACCACGAGAAATCTTACAGAAATTCAAAATTCAATTACCCATTTTAAGAAATCCTCATCTCTCGTTGGAACCTTCGAAGCGTATATCTATTAACTTTATTCTCGTTCTCGGCACGTAAACAATGTATTTTAAGCAGTTGTTGTGCCATGTGTCCTTGGGGACAGTGGATAAAGGCGTTGGTTAGATCTAGTGACAGGATCCAAAGAGTGTGAGTTCAATACCCGGTTAAGGCAGTGGAATACTTGGAGAGGGGATTTAACAGGAGATAACTGATAACTGGCATTCATTAAACATGGCACGTGGAACTAGAACAGTCTAACCCAGTGAGCGAAATAAAGGGTTCAGTTCGACATTCCAACCACCTGAAGAAGACTGGAGCGTACAACGACCGAAACGTTGTAATAAATATGGCGACAAAGATGAGAACAATAGTCCGAATAAAGTAAATAGTATATATAGTATTGTTGAAGTTATCGCTAACATTTAATGTCGATAATTACAAAGTCTACGTTTCGTTCAATTTAACAAACCAATCATTTGAATAAGCTGATTTGTTTGGAAAATACTTTGACAAAAACCTTACTTGGTGGTTTTATAATTTCTTTAATTTAATTTCATAGGACTTCATAATCACTATATTTTTAAGAAAAATTATTTTCTCCTTTTTAACAGCGAAGAATAAATACTTATAAATTCTTAGAAGTTCTTACACTTGAGCATGCAACTTAAAACTGGCTAAGCGTAAATATTTATCTCTGAAGCCAAATTTCAACGTTTTGTAGCGTTTGGCACGTGATTAGTTTATAGTTCTCGCAGATGCAGTGCGAACTGGAAACTGGATTCTTGTCCATTCGAAAGGATATTCGGATGGTTTAAGAATAAACTTTATTCTTGGAATTAATACCACCCGCACTGTTCCAAGCACGGCACATTCTAATAGTTTATTGTCAATAAGTTTGTCGAACGAAAGAATTGTTCAATTACATCGGCCTTACTGAGGATTTATATTGCGCAATAGAATTAATGGCATTCCTGGTTTCAACAATAGGTTGTGTCTTGGAAATTCGTTTCGTTCTAATGTATTCAAATACTCAACATTTAAACGTAGGATATCATTTGCATTAGCGGGGCTATCTGTACTCCCCAACTTTATTGAATTTTCTTACATCCAACCATGCATTGCCTCGTTTATATCACATCTATTCTTCAAAAGGTCTGCCTATGCTACTACTGGGCATTATATTTTACCAAATTTTATATATATATATATATATATATATATATATATATATATAAGAGAGAGAGAAAGAAAAATCGCATACAGAGATACATTTATACGCGTATATATATATATATATATATATATATATATATATATATATATATATATATATGCATGAAATAACATTTAATTGTAATCAATGTGGACATATGCATATTGTGCAAGTGTATATTCGAATGCATTAATAAATCTGCAGTCTGATACGTTACTATGATATTAATTTTTATTGTGCAATGCTCGATCAACGTGACTAATATTAATTACCAAATTAAGTGCATTGTCAAAGAATATTGTGTTGATAATTAATGTGATTTATTTGCCAAATTCGAGAGAATGCAACAACAAACGACACCTGTATCGATCTTTCTCTGTATATATATATATATATATATATATATATATATATATATAAAAGATATGCAAAAGAAATCTTGCATTTTTATTCAATAAGTATTTGTTATTTTAATCATTAAATTCTTTTTTATAATAGTGAGAGTATTTTGCATGTTAAATAAGAAAACGTTTAATACCCCCCCCCAAAAAAAAAAAAAATTGTGAAAAATCATTACACTAAGCTGCACACCCTAGTAAAACCAATAAAACCAACTGTATTATGTACCCTCTTACCTGTTTTGCACTTCTCCGCAAAATTTGGTTTCGATGTATGGCTATTTTAGAAGGTGTGACGGACAGACAGACTAACTCACGTCACAGAATTTTATAGATAGATAGATAGATAGATAGATAGAAGTGACACAGTAGGCATACATTCTTCGGCACATGCCGCTGGAACCAGAACTGTCATCTGTTTCATTACATATAACAAACCATTGGCTGCTTAGGGGTTTCAACAAGGTGAAGATAACGAAGGAATTCATCCCGGAAGTATTCACCGAATCAAAACCGACATCATTTTAGCTTAAAGATCACATGACCATAGAAAGACGTCAAAATATTTTGAGGAATGAATAATGATACTATGAAATTATATGAACAAAACTGACAAAACGGTTTAACATTTTACTTTAATAGATAGATAGAAAGATAGATAGATAGATAGATATGAACACAGAGAAATCAAAAAGGAAGATAAGAAAGGATTGAAATATTTTATCGTAGACATACACTGAAAGAAAGAAAGAAATATATGAACAGAATTAGATAGATAGATAGATAGATAGATAGATAGATAGATAGATAGATAGATATGAACACAGAGAAATCGAAAAGGAAGATAAGAAAGGATTGAAATATTTTATCGTAGACATAGACAGAAAGAAAGAAATATATGAACAGAATTAGATAGATAGATAGATAGATAGATAGATAGATAGATAGATAGATAGATAGATCCAAATAAAAGGAAAAGAATAGACAGATTAAAACTCTACCGTTCTTTAGCATTTGCTTCTTTAAGTGCTCATTACGACATAGAGCATAATAAGTAACTCTTTTTCATCATAAGTTACCAAATATCGCCTGATGAATTAGAACAATTTTCACTTCGGAAACATGAAAGTTTTGTGTAGCGATGTAAAATATTTTTCTAATAAAGATATTATTACAATAGATAGATAGATGTGAACAGACTGAAATTAAAAAGGAAGATAAGAAGAGATTGAAATATGTTATCACAGCCATAGATAGATAGATAGATAGATAGATAGATAGATAGATAGATAGATAGATAGATAGATAGATTTTAAGTTAGCTGCATTGTAGTATAGGTTTCCTTTTCCTGATGAAGCATGCAACATTTCCTATATCTTCTCTTTGCAGTTGCTGACTGACAGCTACAAGAATCAACATCTCTTCCATAGCGATTGACCTTCTTCTTATGTAGACTTTCTTTTTCGTTGTTTTCGCAGTCTGGCTTGATGGCGAGCAAAAGGTCACTGGATCATCCGATTCAACGGATTTTCTTCTTTTTCGGATTGCTATAAACAGCAAATTTTATGGCAATCTAAGTTTTATTTCTGGAGATGCGTAAGCCAGAAAAAAAAGAAAAGAGACACGTTTGGCCGTGAGTGCTGAAGTAAGGTCGTCTTTACGAAAAGCGAAATGTCACACAGTACTTGGTTGTATTATTCGTATCTACATGTAGATATTTCATCAGTTTTGCCTAAGCTCACACTGGGTCAACATCGCGAGTATGCCCGTTGGGGACTAGATACACTAAACTATGGTTATAAGGAGGAGTTATAAATCATCTTTTTCCGTTTTTGTTTACCAAATTTATTCGTCAAAGAAAAAAAAGTACATAAATAAAAAAAAAAGTATGTTTCTTTTTCGGGTTTTTTATTCGTTTTTTACGACTTTTGCAGGTCATTTAAAGCAAGAAAATATTTTGGATTGTAAGAATCTCTTCTTTTTTTTTAATAATAATCGTTCAGTGATACAAGTCTTACTAATTAACCCATAGCGGGGTGGAACAAAAAAGGTAGATTTATACCTTTTCAAATGATATTTGTGCTTAAATGAATATAACGAACCCAACTGGAATTGGAACAATTCCGAGCCATTTTCCATTACGCCACCCGCACATGAAACTTTACAGCACTTTGAATTCTCAAGCGGTCACCCATTTAGGTACTGACCAGTCTCGACGTTGCTTAACCATATATCAGCCATATCAAGTTGAGATCCCGGTACTCGTGCTGAGATCTCAACTTAATATGTCTGAAATCCCTCAATAGTCGAAAGCCTGCGATTATCGAACCCACAAGTTTAGGGAATTGGTCGGCGAGATTGCTTCGCTAAGCCCTGTACGTACCGTGGCTGATTTTAAACTAATTAATATTCTCTTAAAGAATATTAACAGGATACGGACAGGAATTTCTCCATTCTGTTTAGACTGACGTAAAATAGATTAGATAACTCTCTTAAAAATCCTTAACTGGATTCAATCGAACTTTATATTTGAATCACTGACATTTGATTTTCTTTTGAATAAAATAAAAAAAGAATTGAGTGAACCCTGACAAAACCAAACCGGTGATCGTTCAGGAACTGACGTTTCAACGTGATATGGCCGTGAATGGTGGGCGATTTCCTTACGGATGAAGGAGAGACTTGGGTCTACGAAGATCTGGTTCTGCAGTAGGATGAACGATTAGTTTGGATCTAGTTTGAAAATGTCAGGCGGATTAAGGTTTTTCTTTTTTTCTTTAATGTTTATGTATCAAATTATGATACGAGCTAACTTTTTACGACAAAAACCTTTATTTAATTAAAACATGTGAGAGAGACGAACATTTTAAACACCAAAATCATATATTTAGTTTAAATTAGCAAAGTTCGTTGAGATTGATCAATTTTGTAAATATCTATGGAGGTGGCGTGAATATATGAGCAAAGATTAAGACTTAAAGAAAATGGGATCAAAATGGACAATTTTGTTTAGTATCAGAAAAAAAAGCAGCTGAAATTCCTGAGGTACAAATAAGGGCTTGGAGAATTTAATACACAGAGGGCACTTTGAAAGCATGAGGTGCAGGAACAAACTTTTCTAAATGGATGACAATATAGGAACTAGACAGCATAGCAAACCTTACCTAGAGTTATAGGATAGAACGTTGTGGAGAACCATAATCGCCAGCGTCCTGAAGGAACACGGTAACTTGCAAAAGATGAAGAATATTGAATCGGTAATGTGCGGGTGATGTTACCATTATCCGCGAGGACATTGCAATCGGTGAACTGTGTTCTAATTTCGAACTTGTCGATTGCGTTCACTTTCACACTATTCCTTTTGGAAATGGCATGAATCCATATCTTCTGTTCATCTATGTGTTAAACAGCAGGGTAGAATGAGTTTTCTTTCATTTTTAATCATTTCACTCTAAGGAAGGCCATAAAGCCACTAAGGTGCAAGGGATTACTGGGAGTGGAAGAGTATGAGAAAACTTTAGTGAGGCGAATGGATAATAGAAGAACAGTATTCAGGGGAACAGAAGATGGCGATTGATACTGAATTTAAATTTTTGAAGATTGTAGGTGGCAAGGAAGCAAGAAACCGGAAAAGAGTTCTACAGGTGTGAAGTGCGAGAAAAGAAACGATCTTGCTTAGAATTATAACTAGTCTAAGAGGAGGAACATTCTGAATTCCAAACCATGCAGAGTGCAACTGGAAACGGTATTTACATTCACTTACGCGTAGATACTCTTGGAAAAGCTATGAGGACAGGCTTGGTTTTATAGCCTTGGTTGACAACCAGTCTACCGCAGAAAGAAACGGCAACCTACTGCGGGAACATCTGCTTAGTCAGTCATAAATCGAAAGAGACATAATCGCCGAAATGTATGTCACGTATGGCACTTGACTGAATGATCTCTATCTATAAAAGGCAGGAGGTGTGTGTGTGTGTGTGTGTGTGTGTGTGTGTGTGTGTGTGTGTGTGTGTGTGTGTGTGTGTGTGTGATGAATGCACGGCCGCAATTTTCGACGGATTTGCACCAAAATTTACATGCACACGCTCCAAGTTAGTGGGAAGGCCAAAACTCACTTTGCATTTCCCAACTCCCATCGATAGTGGAAATAATCGATTTTTTCATGCTTCTACGGCAGTTTCATGTAGTTTGCAGCCATTTTGTGCTGGCCAGAGTGAGAGCCAATAGCTGGCTGCCACGAATAGGCAGGAAGATTCTATTGGCCAGCGTGAGAACCAACAGCTGACTGACACGAATGTTAACTAGCATGCAAACTAAATCGATAGCTGCATTCGTTACAAGTGGGAAAAATATAAATGCATGGCACTTTACACCAATTGGCTCATTCGCTTGATTAAACTCAACGTTGATTCTGATTCCGCAGAACTGGGTTGGGTGTGAAAAAGTTGTTAACATTCTTTTTTCATTCGGTTTTTCCTGTTACGAGTCCTTTTTTAAAGCTGATCGTTTTGTGTTCATTTTATTTAGTTCTTTTTTTCGTAACAGATTTAATGTTTAGTATAGAGCTTAGAAAATATTCGCAGTGTGAGATAGGCAAGAAGTAAGGCATGTAGCAATATTAGCACGGCAAAGGGCACTCCTTTAAAGGCAAGGAAGGGCAAAAATATTTTAAGTCAAGTGATAGCGATTGCTGTATGAGTCGTACGATTTTTGAATCAAGCACGGGCAACGCCGGGCCATACTGCTAGTCTGTTCCTAAAACTGTTGGCAATTCATAGATGATAAAGAAAATGAGGCTGTGGAGAGCTATGATCGACTTCATCTTGAAGAGACATGTCATTTAAAAGGAAAAATAACTCACTGAATCAAACCACCCTTAATTTAACTGAATACTGTGACGACCGAAATGTTCCTATATTTTTATTCTAACTGCGAATTGTAAGTTACTATGCTCTTTTATGATTCTCTAATATTGTTACAAATGGACAGTTTTGAATTCCAATTCTTTGATCTTGGTAATTCGATGCATAAGAGGGTTTGTCGATGCACATAGATACAAATGCAAATTGATAGATGTCATGGATACTGCTAACATTTTGTCGTCTCGTGTCCGAATCGCCAAGATAATAAAAAAAAGAAATTCGCAAGAATGGTAACATTAGCATTGGTAAAATAATGATACATGTGTGCGTGTGTATTTATCGATATGTGTATGCGCGTGTGTGTGTCTACGCATATCTGTGCATGTGTATGCCTATGCGTTTATTTTTGTGTTTGTGTGTGTTTGTCTTTGTCTACACGTGTGCGTGAGTATATATGTGTACGTGTGTATGCGCATGCGTGTCTCACGTGTGCCCATGTGTGTGTTTCTGTATGTGTGTGCCTGTATGCGTGCTTGAGTGTTTGTGTGTGTGTTTGCTTGCATGTGATTGTGTGTACTTCCATGTATGCGCGTTTGTGCCTATGTGAATGTGGCTGCATGTGCCTATGTGAGTTTGTGCATGTGTGTGTTTGCGTGTGTCAATATATATGTGTATTTGTGTGTGTTTGTGCATGTATGCGAGCGAGTGTCTATCTGTGGCTGTATATGTGTTTGTGTATGTGTGTTTGTTTATGTGCGTGTATCAGTGTGTGTGTGTGTGTGTGTGTGTGTGTGTGTGTGTGTGTGTGTGTGTGTGTGTTTCCTAAAAGAGAGATGGACAAAATACAGGACCGCGGCGCCAACATAAAACTTTTTATAGACGTATGTACATCAATAAGTCCGTAAGCCTATGATGAAAGAAAAGTATTTATTTCACATAATAAATATTAATTTTTCAACATAATCCCATTAATTGCCAATGCACTTAAATATTAATAATTTATAACAAGCACTGTTCTATGAGGGCAGTGTGACGGTTGTCAGTGCCAAAAATAGAATTGGAACTCCTTGTTTGAATCCCGACTGAGACTAGTGCGTTCATTTCGCAATAAAGCCCTTGGGAAAGGCATAAAACCCTTTCCTACGCCGGCTGTGAGTTAAATAGTTGAGAATTTTGAGCTCTCTAGCCTTGATTGGGAATGAACAATTCTCAATGCAAAACTCTAGGAAAGGCAATGGAGAAACAGTCCGGTATCTTTCCCAAGAATTGTGGCAATATTTTCAGTAATCAGTTTACTGATATTAAATAAATGTTGAGATAGCAGTAAAAATAGTAACAGACATGCAAAGGCGTATATTTAAGATTCAAGCGAGAAAGGAACGAAAATCTACATTCCATAGTCATTTGAATTAAGTATAAAGTTTTTTTGTAAGCAGTTCTATTAAGACCAACATGCTTATCTTCGTTGTTGTTTTGATGTCTTGCGAGATGAGGAAGTTTACCTG